GGGGGAAGGAGGTAAAGGAAAGGAAGGTAAAGGTAAAGAGAAGGAAGGAAAGGTGGAAAGGGAAGGGAAGGCCCTGGTCTTCCAGGCCGAAAGGAGAAAGGAGACAGGAACTGGCTACTTTTTACACTTTTTTTCTACACTTTAAAAACTAACTAGCTACTTTTTCTACACTTTTGGGGTTCTTTAGCAAGTGGCCTGGGTTCACCTTTTCAAGCTCAAAAAAGGCTCTTCCAGGCCACTTGTCTTTTTCTACACGTTTTCTCCTCAATTTTCTAAAAATTGTTCTCAATTTTTACAATTTTTTCTTCAAACAAGTCTCTGTCGGGTCTCTGTCGGGTCGGGATGCGACCCGGTGACGTCTCTGAGCTCAAAAAAAACGCGTTAAATTTTAACGCATTTTTTTTAACCTTTTTGGAGGGCTGCGCTCTCTGTGTCTGTTCCCCTTAACGGGTCCATCGCTCGGCCCGGCGCTCGGAGCTGGTTCACCGGGAGCTTCCTTGCAGAACTTTCTCTTCTCCAGGGAGGGAGGGAGGGAGGGAGAGAGCGAGAAAGAGTGAGAGCGCAAGGGAAAGAGAGCTTGCGGCTCGTGCGTATTTTGTGCCAAAAATACTATTTCTGCTATTTGAAGACTGTTTGTGAGCACGTTTATCAACCTGTTATCTTGACGCTTTTCTTCTATTTGTCCCGGAACCCTGCCACGGGAGGAATGTGCAGCCTTCTATTTGAAAATTCTATAATAGTTTCCCGTACTATAACATCTTGTAGTCTTAGAGTCTACGTAGAGTCTACAACAGGTGGTCTATAACAACGATAGACTCTGACCAGACATCCTCGTCAGCCTCAGGTAGTGTGACACCTTCGCTTCAAACATGTCGTTCTCAGGCAGAGTTATCACCCTTAAAGCACTGAACATAAGTCGACAAGCTTGACGAGCTTTCCTAGCAAGTGAGGCTTTGACATAGTAGTGCTTTTGCATACTTTGTTCCTCATTTAATCAATTTCTGGGTTGGTATGGGTTGGTCTTTCTGTTTGCCAGGCTGCTTGGATGATTTGTCCCAGCTGATTCGAGACTGGAAGGAGGTTAACACAAAGGAGGGCCAACTCTTGTGCGGGAAGTTTGGGGAGCCATCCTCCTTCAAGTTGGCATGCCCCATTCAGCCAAGGCAAGAAACAGATTCTACACGTCACGCACTGTCATTCGTGGCAAAGTTTAACAATAGTGTACAGCCATCATGTGGAGTGTAGGAAGCAACAGTCCTTCCTCCAGCCAGCAATACAGCAATGCAGGAAGATGCAAAAATTCTAGACCCGAAAGTGCCTTTGTCGATTGAGCGGTGGGCTAAGCATCACTGCGGTTTGCAACAACGAGACTTGGTAGAGCTTGTGAGCTTATGTAGCTCAAGCTCCAACCAAGGCGAACTCTTTTGAGGTGGCTGCGGTCAGGTGTGATTTTGTCGCTTTGTCCCTAGAATTCTGTTGTCCTTTTGCTGTTTTTTAGGCATTGAAACCAAAAATTGCTTGGCTGATCATTCTAGGTCCCTCAGCATCTTTCTGCTGCACTTGGGCAGCAAGGCTAGTTTCTGACATAGCCTTTTGGTAGCTGAACTGAGATGAAGACCCTTGTGCTGGCCTCACACAATTGTTGAGGACTTGCAATTTGCACTTAATATTGTCCTTAGACAACCGAAGAAGGGAACCTTTAGCTTTACAAGCTTTAGCACACAATATCGGGGACTTCTTAACTTCATGGTTGCTTTCGTTTGTGACTGCTATGGCTCTGATGATGTTTTAGAGGCCTCCAAGATGAATGGGAGCCTTGTGGGTTGTGCAGCCTTGTGAGGGCCCCAGAAGTTAAGTCTCCCTAAAAATCAATGCATTAAATGATCAGTGCGAGTGGTTCTTCAAGAAGCTCCCCGCGCCCCGCCCTCAAGCGGGGGGAGCTTCCTTGAAGAAGCGTGATCTATCCAGCGTCCAGTTACTAGGAGCGAAAAAGTCGTCCCTACTTAATTAAGTAGTAGGCGCCTACTGAATTAACCTAATTAAGTAGGCAGGGGGCGCCCACGTGCTTTAAACCAAACATGGACACGTTTGGTATTTTGATCGGACTTTGGCGTTGCGTGCTGCGCAACTAGGATTATGGTTACCGTCCCTGTCTTCAAGTTTCTGCGACGCTCTCTTGATGTTAGCAAGGCCCGACATGGGTGTGACGTGTGGCAAGTAGCGGTTCACATGATAGACATACGAATGTTCATGTGGCCTGTCAATGTGACTACTGTAGAGTCACTGTAGAATATATACTTCTTTTTGCTTAACTTATTTTTCCAAAAAATCTGGAAACAACATGATTAGTGCGAGCGCTTCTTGAAGGAAGCTCCCCCCGCCCCGCCCACAGGCGGGGGAGCTTCCTTGAAGAAGCGTGAGCTATCCTGCATCCAGTTATATACTAGAAGCAAACTTAGCCCAGTAGCGAACTAGTCGCCTAACTTCATTAAGTAGGAGGCGGGGCCTCGGGCCAACAAAAAGAGTTATGCATGCCCAGAGGGGTCTCAGATGCGCGACTGGTGCCACTTCGTTCAAACCAGCTGCAATTCTGATTGCAAGGCCAAGGCAGTGCAACCTATGACAGACAGAGGCCTTGTTCAGGCCACTTATTTGATGTCCGTTCCGCAGCAGATAGTTCACCCCGATCATTTGCAAAGAATTGCATTGGTTTCAGTTTTGATTGCACCTGTGTTCGATGGATGTATCTAGCCTTCGTCTTCTCAGGCCGTCGGCTTCATCTTGGCGGGTGTGTTATCCACAGTACTGTTAGTGAGCATTGTACTTCCCAACAAGCCAGCAGAGCTGGGATGAGATCCGCCCGAAGCTTCACACATTGGGATGGGTGGTTCAAGTTTATTCAAGTTGCGAGTTTTTTGAACGTTGTGAAGTGCACGCTGTGCACTAGGGTTCACTAGAAACGAAACCTGTCCATCCGAGACTGGGTGGGCTCAAGCTTGCCAAAACACCTGCGGTGTGGTTGCCCCGGCGGCTTTCGTGCGCGCGTCGCGCTCCGTTCGTTCGCTGCTTGCGTTCGACTTGTGTTGTGGACCTCGTGAGCCACTTCTACATCTTCATATTGGTAGCGGAGCCCCTATCCGGGGCTCTGCATGCACTACGCTTTGTCGAGCCAGAGGTCCTGCGTAAGACCCTGTCACGAACGGTCAAAGGAGCTCTTCACTGGTTGCATTTGCTTGCATTTGTTCTTCTCTTCACCAACGGCTTTGAGGCCAGCAAGCACGATCTTGAGGAGCTCTATCACCTTGCCCTGCCCTACATGGGAAAGCCAACGAAACCACAGACCCAGGCTGCTTCTTCGACCTCGAGCTCCAAGGATGGCACTGGCTTTGTCGATCTCCGTGACAGCTACGTGCCGGTCTTCACAGGCCAACCGGCCGACTACAGGGAATGGCGACAGAGGATACACCTGTATCATCGCAAGATGACAATCTCGAAGAGGAGCAATGAAAGTGTGCTGAACATCGTGGGGTCGTTCACTGGAGTGACATGGCGATTATTCCAGGACTGGTCCATTGAAGAGTTGGAGAAAGATGGCGCTTTTGAGCGTTTGATCAAGACCCTGGACGACAACTTCGCCTACGACTCCCGCGTGCAACTTCCAGCAGATTTTGAACAGTACTTCAACCTCCTCAACCGACCACCAGGTCAGACCCTCCTTCTGTACGTGGCTGACCATGAGGAGGCGTACAGGAAGTTGCAGCAGCGCAAGGTGAACCTGCCCTCTTCAGTCCAAGGATGGCATCTTCTCCGTCGTGCCTCCCTGAGTCGTGAACAACGACAGTTGATCACCCTGCGCGCTCCCAACCTAGAGAAGAATGAGGTGATCAAGGCAATGTGTACCTCATCTTGGGCCAGGACTTCAAGGGCGGTGGCTGGAATGCAGACCGCAACCGTCGCTTCGGCTACAATGCCAACCAGTGGAAGAATCGGGCCTATGCAGCCGCTGACGAGGCCGAGTATGACTATTGACCACTGGGAGACAGGCTATTATGAAGGAGATGAATGGACGGAAGAACCTGACTTCGAGCCTGACGAGTCCTATGACTTCGACGAAGATGCAGGTTACTATGGCGACGAACCCTGGCCGGAGAATGTCAATGACACCTCAGCAACGCTCTCACCTCACGAGCTTGCGGAGGAGTATGATATGGCTTTTTGCATCATACACTGATGCCAGGAAGAGGTTCCAAGAACTCAAGATGTCCCGTGGCTATCTTCCCATAGTTGCCCTGACTGATCCTCAGCATGGAGGTCAAGCACCGACTTCACCGACTACATCTCCCTCCAACTGGCGAGCAACCGGTAAGGGAAAGGGCAACTCAAAGTCCGGAAAATCCAAGTCCAAATCCAAGACCACCATT